ATACTGGCCGTAAAAGCATGCTTCTACTCGATTCGTGGACGGGACACTGCCCGAGCCAGCTAGAGCAGTTGATTCCACAAGATAAAGAAGTACAATTTGCAACCATTCCAAAGAAGACGACGAGTATCATTCAACCTTTGGATGTATATGGTTTCCGGATTTGGAAAAATTTCGTGCGAACATTTTCGGATAATATAATTCTTCAAGAGATTGATATCAATTTGCACTCCCGTAATGAAATAATTAAATTGCAATCACTAACCCACAATCAGTTTTCTTCGCCTAGATTTAAAAATCTTTTTCAATATGCTTGGTATAAAAGCGGATATTTAGAAACACATCCCGACAAATTTCAAAATCCTGTAGAATTCTGTTATTTCAAAAATGAAAAAGATATACCCAAATGTAGTATTTGTGGGATGGCCGCTTTTATGCGCTGTGCATGGTGTGGCAAGTATTTTTGTTTTAAACATTTTTATGAAGAATATCATTATTGTACCGATTACAAACCATAATTTTTTATAACCAATTTTTCGTGCGATTTGCAAAGTAATCTAATATAATAAAATAACAGCTCAAGTAATGATGTTGCTGTCGTTATGGTTCGCTTATGTCACTGATTAGTTTTAATTAATTTTATCTTTCATGTAGCTGTAATTAAATACTACCTTGCTTAAATAATTGAAAGTTGCCTGAAACGTATATTAATAACAAAGGATGATTTCATCCCTTCAAAACTGAATACAGCACCAACAAAAAATAGTTTAATACTATGGATGAACTGATTTACTTTTATACAAAGTTTCAGATTTTCCTGAATTTTTGTGTTTGCAAACCTCCTTGTCAGTATGCTTGGCATAAAAATGTAGATATTATGTAGATATTAAACCAGACGAATTTGATACACCAGTCAATTTTTATTTTAAAAAACATTCAAAAGCAACATGCAATATTTGCGGCGATATTGAAATTATAACTTGTGCATGGTGTAAGCAATCTTTTTGCATACAATTATTTTTTTTATGATCATCATATTTGACCACAAATATGATGATCATGAAAATAATGTTGTATGCAAAAAGATTGCTTACCATGGTTCACCAAACTGATTAATTTGAACCATAAATATTATATTTACATTATTTGTAATTTTATTAATATCACTTTAATATATCGCTAGTCCGGAGCAATAGAGGCATATCTTAAAAATACCATTTTTCGCCAAAAATGCCATTTCTACTTGTGGGTATTTTTGTCAATCTTTGAAAAGCTCTCCTGAAAAATTACATTTTTTGAGATATGACTCTATTGCTCCGGATTAGCGATATTATACGTACTGTTATTATATTATAGTTACTTTAAAAGATAATAATATTAACAAAAAACAATATTATTAACACAATTTTGTTGTTTTACTGTTTTATTTATACTATAAGTTGTAAAGATATATTCAGTTCATATTATGTATAATTAAATAATGTGAATAGTAAATGTACGCGAACCCTCGATTGAACTTCTCCGCACACACAACTATTTTATTTTATTCGTCGGTTCGTGAGCGGGAGCGGATAATAACGTATGCACCGGGCGTGAACAGATACTACGGTCTTTATTACTTGCTGAGATACAGAAAAAACGCGATCGTTACAGAGCGTCGAGCAATAC